AAACTTTTTCTTTGTTATTTCAAGACTAAAGAAATTGAAGGAAAATTACAACAAAGAAAAATCAATGATAACAAATACATATAATTAATTTAAACAGCGAAATACAAGGAAGTGTTTGCAAATCCATTTTTCATTCAAAGACATCCCGAAAAATGGGTTGAACGCCTTTTTGTTCATTAAAAACATCTGTTTTACACATGGATTGAAGGAAACTATTCCACTCTTCTCCATCCAGAACGAAGAAAAGCAAGAAAGAATGATCGGGTTCGAGCCAGAAAAGACTGAAAAGCTTTTCATCGACTTGGACTTCTTGTTAAAAATTTCGGGTGTTTTCCCGTCATTTTTGAAGGAGAAAAGAAACATGGTTTTGGAGTCAACTTGCAGAGTCTCTTCACCACTTGCTACGGGAACCATATCGCTGTTGTAAAACCCAAACGACTCGTTGCCGGACTTGAAGAGAAACACCAGCTTGTCTTTACAACAGATGGCGCTTTTAAGTGCACGCTCGTCAAAGCCGTCGACATTAGAATCAAAGAGAATCTCCATTTTGCTTGTTTCTGTTTTCAGCAAGAGATTGTTGTATAAGATATTCTGCTCCTTTAGTGAGTCATCTACTTTCAAACTAGCCGAGAAAGATTCATCAAGTGACACTTTGTTTCTTCTTTTTCTTTGAGTGAGTTTTATGAAGGGTGACATCCCCTTTCTGGTTTCAGACACCGACCGTTTGCCTTCTCTTGGTGAATCTGAAGATGATGATGTTCCATCTTCTTGTGTGTCATTAGAAGTCGAGTTGGTGGAATGCCGCTTTGAAATTTTGGGGATAATGTATCTACTTTCGACAATTGACTCGAGTGGTGTAGTAATAAAGTACTCGGGGTTTGATGTCATCGAACCGCATCGTGGCGATGAGCGTCGCAGGATCATGTCTGAGTGTGTTCCTCCCATTGGAATAAAAAGTAGTTAAACCTCTTTTTATTGGGTTGCAAAACAATGTCAAACACCCATGAATATTCACAAAAAACAAGAGGTTTTTTATTTCCGTATTTACAATCTATGCGTTTTTGGGGGTTCAAAATTGGAAAAGTGCGCTATTTATGAAACCTCCCCAAAATAAAAAAAGGCAAGTTCATCAAAAGATACACTTTTTTGGGTTAAAACAGCACGCTACAACCGGCATTTTGTCTCGGTGGTTTTTTTCCAATTCCGTAGTATGAAGCACGCAATTTACAAACAATCTCGGGGGTTATCCCTAATAACCACCGAAAATGGCAGTTAGTTGCCTTGGTCAGTTGCGGCAAAAAAAGAAGACCGTTAAAAAGTGTTTCAGTATTTTTGTTCAAAAGGATTTTATTGTATTTTATTGTATTTATTTATCGTGAATGTACTATATGTGGTACACTACATTTCTAAATGCGCAGTTTGAAGCAAAAGCTGGTTATTATTTTTTTATGTAAATAATTTAAAAATTGTTTTGCACCATAAATTGTTACCTGTAACATATCGTGAAACTGCCGCATGATTTCGATGAAAAAAGCACATATTCTTTCAATTCAAAAACTGCGGCAATTTAAAAACGCACTAATTATTTTTTTGAGTGTTTTACAACAAGATACGTTGTTATATTTGTCCAAATTACACCATAAACAAATTAATAATTGTATTTTTCGGTAAAAAGGAACTAACCAGCGGGACTTTTCCCATGTTATTATTCTTCAACAGTTGTTTGGTCTAACTAAAGATCTTTTATCTTCTCTTCTTTTTATAATTATTCACCACAATTCCTTGATTTTAAGACCAGATGTTCCCGGTCTTCGGGACTTTTTTGGGTAACAAAACCGGAGTTTAAATCTGAATAACTTTTCTTTATTTTTGTTTGTAATTTATTCAAAGAACAGGGTTTCCACAATTTAAAGAAAACAGATAGAATTACAATATGGCTGTGGTAATGATGACCCATAAAAAATATTTTATTTTTGCGTTGGGGATTTTTTTGAATGGTGAACATTTTTGAATGTAATTATCGGGTGTACTTTTCTTCACGCAATTTTGGATTGAAGTAACAAAGATTTCATGTTTTATGATATTTCATTTTTTGGAATTTTTCTGGGACTGTTGGAATTATTTTGATTATTTGTTGTTTAGATTATACCTTCGTTAATAAATATTTTATATATAAACAGTTAATTGTTATTTAAGAAAATAAAACTCATTTATAAATGATTCATTTAAAGTAAAAACATACAAAATAAATTATATAAATATAGTAGTGAATGTAAATTAACTGTGAAAAATGGAATTTGGAGATGAAATTATTGGAAAAATAATAAAAATTATAAAATAATAAATAAAAAGAAAATTGTTAAATTATTTTCAAACTATAAATTTACTAGTTTATTATTACAGTCAAGATAAAAAGGGGGATGCTAATCTAAATATAAATTTATTTAATATTATTAATAATAAATAATTAAAATAAATTTGTTCAGTTTTTTCATTTTATTAATTTTTTGATTAATAATTAAAATTAAAATTAATAGTAAATTTATTGTTTTTCAATTGAAATTAACCAATAGTTACGAGCATCCTCCTTTTTCCAGCATCCCCATATTTCCTCCTACTGTAATCATTCAAAACAGTCATTAACAAAATTTAATATTTGTTATAACTTATTATAAAAATAAAATAATATAAATTTTGTAATGTAAAAACTATGTAATCACCAATAATAAAATATAAAAAAAAACTATTCAGTTTTAATTTTTTTAACAATTGAATTATTAATTAAAATAACTATTGTTTTTTTTCAATTGACTTTATATAATAAATTATTATTATAATATAATATAAATACTTTTGCTATAAACATACGTTTCCAAAATAATTATTGCCAATAATGTGGTATTATAATGTACGAATTTATAATAGAAAAAGTACATTTTGGTTATAAAATGGGGATGTGGGTAATTAGGATTGGGATTTTGGAAACCTCTGGTTATTAAGTGATAATAACATATTTAATAATAAAAATACTTATACAATGTCTAAACAACTCATTCAAGTCGTCCAATTTGTGTTTCAAACTCGAGTTTCATTTCTGCTGAATCCTTTGCGTAGGAATATATTTTCTGTGTTCTCCCTCCAAATACGACAAAGTAATCTTTATTCTGTTCCGGGATACTCACAAACTCACAGTCGTACTTTGAATTAACACGATTAAATGGGAACTGCTTCACATCACATTTTCTATTTTGTTTCATCAAAATTCTTGTTAAGGAATTCGACATACCAATAAACATAGTAATGGTATTATCTCTTCCTTCACTGCATTTTGCAAACAAAATGTCATTAAGATTTCCGATATTCACACTGAATTTTGTTATAATTTCATCTCCGGCTAGAACGTATAGTACTTGAGTCTGATTCCTATACATCACGATGGAGTAATTTGTTGTGTGATGCTTTTCTTTATTTCCCATGAATGGCGCGTACATAAACAAAATGACTTTCCGTGTCGCTGGTTTTGAGTCTTCGAGGCTCTTAAAGTTGTTTAAATCGCCAAAGAATACAACCTTTCCTTCGTTTGTATTTTGGACCAAAGCAATTTTAGCCCCGTCGAGAGAGCACATGTACAATGCATTTATACTGACATACCTTATACAGTCCATATCTTCGTCGAAAAAATGAATCCCTGCCTCACTCAATAACATAATCATATTTAATTTAGCACAACATGATATCGAAATTATTTTCGAATTAATTGGGATTTGGTACAATTTGACATCGGGGACTTTGTATAACTTTACAACAGATTGTCTAAGCTCGTGTTTGATTTCAATTTCTTTTTCAAAGTCGAGAATTGGGTCAAAATAACAGAGTCTGAATGGTGAGCTGTATTGGTCAGTGAAATTGGTAATATAGAGAAGGTGTCCATTAAACAGAAGTGCTTGTGAAACATGATTGATCGAGAAAAAGATGTGTGCAATTGGGTATGAGTATTGGTTGGTGTATTTAATAATCCTTATACCATTGTCGGAACTCATTACCACAAGTTGCCCAAGTATTTGTACTGATGTAATGCTCATGTTCTCAGTCTTTCCAGTTTGTAATTGTTATTGTAAAATATTATAATATAAAATATAATTATTTATAATTTATGCAAAAATCACGCTTTTATTATTAAAATAACTATAATAATAGATGCTTGTGTTATTTAAAAGCATCAAAGTGCCTTTTGGTATTTGTAAAATCTTCTTCATCCTTCTCAAACGATACAGTTGCAATTGTGCTTTCTGTTCTTCCACCTATCATTTGTGCTTTTGCTTCGATATTACCAACAGTGTCAACTCCAACTGTTAGAATAAAGATAACATCTCCAGCTTTTTGAGGTGGGAGTTTGTCAAACACAAATTCTCCGACAAATGTGTTAAAATCGGCTTGGGAGTTATCTCCTTTGTAAATCTTGAACACGGCTTTCTTTTGTCCGTCCACTACAGTCATAACTTTTTTTGTACCTTCTGCTGGGAGTAAGTCTGTTTTTGAAACAATCACTTCACATTTCGATCCAATTTCAACTCGAATGTCTTCGTTAGAATGATTGAAAACATTTTGAATGTCGCCCTGATGGAACATTGAAGCACCTTTCACAACAGCCAACTCGGGTGTGTCAACAACAGTGATTGTAGCTTCTTTGAATATCAATTTTGCTTGGTTTTGCAATGCCTGCATATAAGATGCACCACCCGTCATTATCACTCTTTTAATAGTTCTTGAATTAATATTACCTTTATTAAGCGTTTGTCTAATGCACGCACGATATTTTTCAAATAAATCACTACATTTCTCATTCATTTCATCCCTTTTAATTTTCATCACATATCCTACAGTTGAATCAAATAAAAAGGAGAGATTGACTTCAACAACTTCCTTTGACGAAAGTAGTATCTTTACTCTCTCAGACTCTGCCCGAAGTCGAACCTTCTTTTTTTGGTAAGCTAATTTTTCAGTAATAAGTGCACGTTTTGGCTCTGAAAAGTACGTGGAATATTCTTCTATATTCGCTGTTTTAGCAATAATCAATTCACTCACTGCTCTGTCAACAGCATTTCCACCGACACTAAAATCACCATTACATGCCTCACACTCATAGTACCCACTATTTTTCAATGAACATATTGTGACATCTAATGTCCCACCACCAACATCTATAACTACAACATTCTCATCCACTTTTATATCACTCATCTTCGTCTTCATGCTCAGTAGTGCTGCAACTGGTTCTGATAGAAACTTAAATGTTGTGATGCCAACAAGATGCATTACCATTTCAGTAGCAATCATTTGGGTATCCTGAAATGAAGCGGGATGTGTCACAACATATTTCTTTTTCTTGTTTCTGTACTCGGGTATCTCCTCCAGTTTCCCAAGAAGTCTTTGAACAAGAAAAGCAGTTACTTCTTCTGGGCGAAATGGCTCAAGCTCGATGTTTTCATTCCCCATGTCAACCATATACACTATATGATTATCTTTCTGTTCAATATCAAACGTAAACGATTTCTTTTCATCTTTAGGTATGTAATCAAGGACAAGACCAAAAAGACGCTTTGGGTCATACAACACATTGCTTGTTTGTGTCATTTTCTTCACAACTTCACCAACAATAACTTTATCTTGAACAAATGCAACGTAAGATGGGAGAAGTTCTTTGTAATCAAGTCTCGTCATGTCTACTTCGAGAACTCTTAGTTTCCTGTTTTGATCCACAACACAAATGCAGCATTTAGTTGTTCCAATATCAATTCCAACTTGAATATAGTCGTCCATCGAGTTACTCATTAATGATTCGATGTTCTGATTTTTATCTTATTTTCTATTGTTTTTATTGTGTTTTGTTATTTATAATATTAATTAATCATAACCAAGCAAATACAACTGAATTTAAATAATTGAACCTTAGCAAACATCATTTCAATGATTAAAAATTTTTTCATAACTTTAATAATTAAAATTTAAAAATTTATTGAAAAAGCTATATTAAATATAGTTAGAAAACAACTATAATAATGTTATCATATTATTTGAATTATTTAATTGATAATGATTAATATTTGTCCCATTAAAGAGTGTTAACCTGATAGGGCGTATCCACACGGAAATGGTGAATCCCTGCGGATTGGAATATTTTGTGTGGATAGCCTCTTATTTTTTTGTCGAAATAATTCAAATATCCGTTTTAAACCATATGTTATTATTTTTAAAATTAATAATTGTTATTTATAATCATTTATGGGACAAAAACGATACACAAACATGAATACCCCCATAAGGAGTATTTCCAATATTTGCAATAATTTCATAGTAAGAAAAAACTCTATTTTCAGCCTTTTTTTGGAGTGGTAAAATAAGAATAGATCAAAATGAACAAATAAAATAACTAACAAAATTTACGTGTATTATCCCGTTTATTTGATACATGTAACGCTATTTTTTTCGTTTTTTAATTGAAAAAACATTTTAAAAGTGATTTATGGGATTATAATTTGGGAAAATTCCCGTTTTTTGCATAAAAAAAATATTTAATTTTAGTATCAATTTTAAATGATATTATTTAATTGTTAATCGTGGCTCAAAAATGCATTTATTATCACTTTTTACTAATAGTATTGTAATATATATAAACATTCCATTGGTTTATTATTTTAATAATAATATTTGGGAATTGAAATGTGTTAAATAAAGTTCTTTTAGTTGGCGCAAATTATACGTATAAAGACGGGTTTTACATTCTAAATAATATTCAGGTTTTGTTGAAAATGTTAAAGACAAAGGTTTTATGTCTAAACTAAACTATTAATCAATAACAATCAATTATATTACAATAGTACATTATTTATTAACATAAAAATGACAGAATAATCACAAAACAATTTCTATTAACATAGTTAAATAAAATGTAATTTTTACTATAAAAACCTTAAAAAGTTAAATGGCAAATTACCACATTGTAACAATAAGTTATTATTTATGTTATTAAAAAATCATAACAATACTAGTTAATTAAAATAGAATCATACGGCAAATACCAACAAAAACCACTTAAAAAAACAAGGTATGTTACTCATTACATCTGACATGTAAAAACGAAGATTGTCTGTCTATATTTACCATCCACACCTTTTCAGCCTATCCACAGTAAACTATGCCGTAGTATTTTATGACAAATCATGAAACAATTTATATAAAAATATTTCAAAAAATTATTTTCAAAATACATTATTATAATGAAATAACTTTTAACTATTATTTTATATTATTATATTTATTAAAAACAAACTAATAATGATACTATTATACTCAAAACTACAAGAATTAATAAATTGTATTAAAATATTAGTTTTGATTTTGGATTCAAACTAATAATAGTTTAAAACAAATTCTATAAACATGGTTGAATGGTATTATATTTTTACTATAAAAACTTTTAAAAAAGTTAAATGGCAAAATACCGCTTTTTAACCAAAAGTTTAAAATTAAATTATATAACAATAGTAAATTGCTCAAATTTATAACATATTGCTATACGGCAAATACCAACAAAAACCACTCAAAAATACAAGTCATGCTAATCACTACATTTAACATGTAATAATAACAATTGTCTATCTATATTTACCATCCACACTTTTTCAACCTATCCACAGTAAACTATGCCATAGTATTTTATGACAAATTATTTGTTATTTTTCAAATTTTTCAATTTCAATAATTTTATTGATTAAATATAGTTTATACAATTAGTTAAATAAACTAAAGTTAATTAATAAAAAACTTTAGTGTTAAAATTTTTAACAAAATTGTTTTTTTTTGCGGCAAATTCGTTTGAATGGTAAAAGTAAAAGATGACTTTGACTAAAAATAAAATTTGTTTTTTCTGTTTTAACTTTCAAAAAAATCGGTTTTTTATGAATTCGGTCCAAAAAACCCATTTTTTTGTAAACTCTTAGGCAAATTTTATATCAATTACAACAAAAATGTGTAAGATTTTCAAAGCCATCCACATAAAAGTGGTCTATCACGTTAACACTCTTAATTATTGTATTATATTTCTAATTATATAATAATTAAATTTATTTCAATAATTGGTGAAAGCTAAACGTTAATTGGATTTTTCACAAAATGATTTAATCATGATAAAAATCTTTTAACTATTATATATAATAATTTTATTAAATTTCACTTATATTATTATTTCATTTATTTATAATAAAAATAATTAAAAATATAATAATAAAAATATATGGTTTAAAATATTAATTGTTAAATTAAGTGATTAATTAATAATTAAATTATAATATAGATATATTTTTATTCAATTAACATAAATAGATGAATATTTCAGAGCGCTTCTTCAAATTGTTGGTAATTATTTTTTTAATAAAAATATAATTCTAAACACTTTAAAACATCACAGGTTATCGGGATTTTAAGACATTGAGTCTTTTATTTTTAGAATCGAATTTCTTTTCAATAAGAACTGGCTATGTTATAATAAAAAATAGATATAAATACTAATAGAGTGAATAAATGGATGAAATTGTTGGGGTATCCATTAGATATTATATTTTAGAATCTATAATTAAAGTATTAATAATTACGAATCAAAACAAGTAATAAAAATGGCCGAATACGGGAATCTTAGGGTGTGCTGCATTAGCTATTTCTTGAGCAGTTTTTAACATGAAAAATGGGGAAAGACAAATAATCAAACGTGGATCTTTTGGATTGTTTTTTAGTTTCAAATTATCCTCTGAATTCAGAACAGTTTTTCTTGAAAAATCACAGAAAAAGGGTTTTTTCAAGATCAAATAAAATCAAATGGCTGTGTTTGTACTTTTGCCGTTCCAAACAATGATTAACCCTTAGGATTAAAATCAAGTTGGTAGTTATGGGCGATTCCGATGTTGGAAAGTCTGCTATTCTTCACCGTTTCATTGAAGGTACCTTCACTGATGGCGAAAAGCCAGCAAACCCCCAAAAAGGTGTTTTCGTTTGTTTTCTCCTTTCGGCTCAACTAACAAAGTTTAATAATAAATTTATAATAACAATTCTATTGACATACAGTTGAACAAGGACATCACAGTCGATAAACAACAAGTCCACTTCGATATTGTGGATCTTGCGTTTGATGTCGAAGCAACTGCCTCTGATTTCCAAGGTGCTCGCGCAGGCATTGCGGTGTTTGATTACAGCAATCCAGACACATTAAAGAATACAAAGAACCAACTTGGACTTGCAAATAGATTTGTATCGGGACCTTCGTTTGCGTCATATATCGTCGGTAATAAAACAGACTTGGAAAAGAAGACTGACGACGCCGAGGTCAACAGTACTGTCACAAGTGCAAACGCAACAAAACTGTATCAGATATCCGCCAAGACTGGTGATGGTATCAACGAGATGTTTGAAGACATCGCCAAAGCTGTCCTTGCCACCGACAAACCTGCAAAGGAAGAAAAAGGGGGAAAGAAGAAGGGCGAAAAGAAAGGAGGGTGTGCTTTTCTTTAAAACACTCCACTATGTTTCATTTGACTTGGGCTTGCTTTTTGTTTTCTATGTCGAATTTTTTGCTTTTTCCGTTTGGAACAAAAATGATTTCGAAATA